GAGGTGGGGTTATTTGGTGTGTGTTTTTACTAGAATGTCAAATATGGGATCATTTATTTCTGTAAATGTACTGTTCATCTGTAGACTTTTCTTTGTTATGTCTCATATAACATCTTTCCAATGTGTTGAGTTTGGGTAATTCCTTTATATATAATTTCATGGTCTGGTCCATTTTGCCAAATGTATTTCCAGCTTCCAAAATGCACTGAGAGAATATAAATATAAATGCTATCAGGACTAATAATTCATTACTGGAGTTGGTTTCTACAGTGTATCATTGAAGATGAGATTCATCTGGAACTGACATTCTTTTCTGATTAAGCATGGGTTCGCTTGCAGGGATACGTAAATATGAAAAATAATCACTATGGGAATTCACCAAATCCACATCTAACCCATGAAGTATGGCTCCATCCAGTGAAAGTTGGAGACTGGCATGTTGTAGGGGCGAAAAGGATTGCTCTACCTGCGTTCTTTTAACGGAACAATTAATTGTGAAAGATATGTACCAGTCATTCTCAGACAATTCTTTCAAGAGTTACAAAAGCAGAGAAACTCTATGGCTGGTTTCAGCAAGACTTGGCTACTGCCCACATTTCACGTATGTCTATGCAGGCTTTGTCTGGTATCTTTTGGGACAGAAATATCAGCACTGGTATTTGGAAGGCACATTCACCCAATCTTAATCCTTATATTTTCTTCTGTGGTTCTCTGCAGGACAAAGTTGCAAACAGTAAACCCCATGAGGAAGAACTAAAAAAAAAACTTAACAGGGAAACTGCAAAAATTCTGGCACAACAGCTTTGGGGGTTAATCAGAACCCCTTCTGCTGGTGCAAGGAACATCTACATGTAGGGGGACAGTATTTTGAACAACTTCTGTGACCTGTGAATTGTACACTTCATTCCAAATGTTACTGGCCACAGGCATACTGATACACTGACATAATTTGTATGTGCCTAGCAGCCATCAGTGCATCAGTCCCTGTGAACCGGCTGAGAAAAGTAAGAGCCTTCGTATATATAGACACTCTCTGTATCTAATGTTTAGTCACCTTTCTATCTAACAGAAAATAACAATAAAATCTGTCATGACAACCAATCGCCCGACAGCAGGCACAGGGGCAACTCCAACAGTGTCAGGTATATTAAATTTACTTCAAACACAGGGAAACAAACAACACGTGTCTATAATATGACACATTGTCACAAATCTTTAGAGAATCATTAGTTATCCTGTTACAAATCCTCAACACAATGACACCTCTGTGTTATTACATGGATACAGGCTGCATGGGAGAGAGACAACAAATAACTGATAAGCTTCATTTACAGATCCTGGGAACCCTATGATGTAGTACCAACGCACAGACAAGGAAAATGTGAAGGATTTTTCCTGTATAGAATTTACCACAAACGTTCAGTCTACACAGATTTCATTTCATCTATATTAGATCTGCTTAAAAGAAAATGGGAGTTGTACATCACCCGCAACATTCAACATACTACAGTTGCCTAGAGGCATTTCAGGAAAAAAAAAATAACCTTCAAAATCTAGTCAAGAGTGCAGTAGAGCTGTTTCATGTTCACAGAGATGGATATCAGAAAGAGAAGCAGCATTTCTGCACATTTGTGTTATCCGCCTAACAGTGCACATACAGCTCACCTCAGGTTCAGCCTTTAGTTCTAGAAATGTTATTGGGACAGGATCCTCTTCCTCTTCTGCATCTGAGACTGCCTCAGCTTTTACATTCATGGCCTGATCTGCATCATGAGGTGTTGGGTATGTCTCACCATACGGACCCACTAAAGCATTCTCCGAATTTGTACAGTTCTGTAAAAACCATCACATCCTTCTCAGAAGTGGATTTACAACACCCAACATTAAACAGTGTATGCTCTCCTTGCTATGGCTGTTTCTCATCACATCACTCATAAAAGCTGTTTTGTACAGATGTTCCTCTCTACAGTTATCACGATCACTAGAAAGTACTCGGTTCATAGTTCAGTGACCTTCCTGAGGAACTATCGGTCACTGCGGCAGTATAGAAAATGTCTGCTTTCTTGGCACATAAAAACATCATAATGAAGAGCTCCACAACTTGTAACCTTCGTTCACCATCATAATTATGATGGTGAACGAAGGTTACAATGCATATAATTATAATTATATGATCAAGTCCAGGAGGATGAGATGGGCTGCTCATATAGCAGGCATGGGGGAAAGGGGGAATGCATATAGGATTTGTTGAGAAAGCCAGAAGGAAAGAGACCACTAGGAAGGCCTAGGCATAGGTGGGAAGATAATATTTAAATGGATCTTTAAGAGACATAGGATGGGGTGGTATGGACTGAATTCATATGGCTCAGGATAGGGATTTGTGACGGGTTCTTGCGAATATGTCAATAAATTTCCAGGTTCTATACAATGTTGGAAAATACTTCAGTGGCCAAGCAACTGGTGGCTTCTCAAGGACTCACTCAGCTCCATGGAGTTAGTTATGGTAATTAAGGGCCCATTACTGTGGCCACACATGCTCATCATGGCTCTGTATCCTAAGGCAAAGAGACCCAATACAAACGCTTCCAAATTATTTCTTTAAAATCTATCTTACCGTTAATAGCATCTTTCCATTTGCACTTAGGTCTCCCAAATGGTCTGCTTCTTTCAGGTTTTCCCTCCAAAATTTTGTATGCATTTCTCACTGTTGCATGTGCACTACATGACTTACCCACATCACTCTCCTTGAACTCATTGCTCTCCTTCATAATATCCCACACTGATATCACCCAAGTGTAAGGAACTCCCCACATGGATTATGCAAACAAACAGAAGCGGGTCACAAAATATTTAGATTCTTTGGCCAAGAGAACTGACATACAACACTAAAATTCTTGTCTGTGCACACACGCACGAAACACAATCATTTCGCTTACAGCAGGAAACTTTACTTCAGCTCTCTGCAGTACAATTCTTGCAACTCTTGTTGCAAGAGATTGCAGAATCTTTTGTAACCTTGAAACCTGTT